CACTGTACACCGCTATAAACTGACAAAACACTATGGCATATACCCCCGAAGCGTCTGGGAGCGGCGCGAAGTCACACGTAGTGGACTTCGCGTCACTTCGCCTTCTTTTGCTTCGTGCCAGTTTACCGACAATCGGCGGGAAAATGACGAAGGACGAATATTCGCCAAAGTTACCCTCCCACACGCTACGTGAATAAACCCGAATACCGAATATTCGCCGAATACACGTAGTGTCTGGGACCGGCTTAATGCGGTTCACGCATTCTAAATGCCATTTTTTTATTTTTGTAGAACTTTGAGCAGTTTTAAGATCACACAATAAAAAAACTCCGGTTTGAATCAAAAAATTAATAAAATTAATTGACACCTCAAATGAAGTTTTTTTAACGACTGGCATTAGTTATTTCGACATTCGACTCCTCTTTGTGAGTCGAATATAAAAATCGAATATCGAATCGGTGCTCGTGAAACGGAAACGCGATAATCGGAAAAATATGGCGGATTCGATAGAGATTGAGTAACGGAATTCCACTGCTGCTCCGCATAGTCGGATTTGATATCAGGTTATGTTGAATTTAATGCTATCCCGAACATATCGAAGGACACCGCCGCCACGCCCGTCAGCACGATCCTTCCTCACGAGCCTGAAGCCCTCGAAACTTATCCCCCATCTGGGATTATATTTGTTAACCAGGATTCAGAAACGGAAAAGATATCTATGTGATTATTCGAAATATAGTCCTTAATTCTATTCAATTTTGGAATGATTGACCTATCCTGCGTTTATTAATCAGATGATTTTGATTGTTTCTATTTAGAGACATTTTTAAGTTTCAAAAGATATATACATATTATTGGATAAAGAGAAAAAAAAAATTAAACAAAGAGAAAAGCTACATTTGTTTTAAAGCTATCCACTTGCCCTGACGTGATAATACGAATCACAGGGGCGCTCTGAGCCCTTCTGGCTAGAATGTTGTCATCTTTGCACCAAACGTATTTAAAGCCAGCTCTCCTTTGTTCAGTCGCTTTTCTAAAACAGTTCACGGGTATGTTTCGACAGGTCCTGATTGATGAAAATGCGTCTGTTGGTATCTGCTCGAATATCACACTTATAAGTATCTAGACTCTCGAGGGGTGTTTTTTCTTAGGTTCAATGAAGCATTTCTGCTTTCACCATGAGCGAAAGTCACAAGCACAGGTTTTCTGGTTTGCATGTTGGGTAAGGATTTCACATTCATATTGGCTTTCAATGCTGAAAACACCTTCCTGACCTCGCTAGGTGCATTCTCACCCCCTTCGAATCCAACAATAACAATATTCTTGTTTCTCTCCTCCTCGGCGTCTTTCTTCGCACTCCTGATGTGTATAATCTCGTTTTCTAGTTCGACCACCTATTTTTCATCAGCAATTGTTCTTTCTTCAACAATTTGTTTTCATTTGTAAGAGCTTTCATACTTTCTTTCATCTGCTCCGCTACTGCAGCCGTGCTTAGGCTTTGAGATGCAGCAGGCCCCAGTGGTTAATCACTTTCTTCAGGCTCCAAGTCGCTAGTCTCAAGGTTATTTGAGCATGTGACACAGCGCCATTTTTCATTTGTTTTACGTAATTTGATAGTAAACTCTTCATCTGTCAACCCAGAGCAAGACTTGTGAAACCATTTCTTGCACCCACCAGCACATTGAATTTTGTTTTGAGTTTTCGTAACATTTGGGGCAAGTTAGGTGACTTTTTTTCTTTTGCCTGTCATTGTTCAACCCACGTCGATATTATTTTTCTTAAAAGAAAAAGATGTATATACAGTGTGTCCCGCTTAAGGACTGACCAACCTAAAAATTTTATTTTTTACCCGATTCAATTTTTTTTTTGTCTTGTAAGCATCAAAATACACAACTTTGTCCTAATTCAACCAGCCCTGTATCTTTCACCGTTTTCGAGATCCCAATGATGTGTCTCGAATTTGAAACACTCTGTACAGGAGTCCACATTTATAGGCTCAAGTTTCAATAAGTACTACTAGGGATTTTTTTAGAAAAAATCTGATAGCAAATTCTTGTTTAGAATGGTCTACTACTAACCCAAACTAACCCAAATGTACTAATTTTTGTTTCAATAGGAATACAGGGTGATCACAACAAATTTTGAAAATTTAATGGACCAAACCCCAAAAATGTCATATTTTGAGGCCTTGAGAACAACAAAACTTGAAACAAAGTTTTAGAACATCCTTAACCAAAACTTGTAGTAGTAAGCTTGTCTCAAAATATAACACCTTTGCGGTTTGATTCATCAAATTTTGAAAATATGTTCTTTGTGATCACCCTGTATCGTATTGAAACAAAAATTAATTAGTACATTTGGGTTTAAGACCATTCTAAACAAGAATTTCAGATTTTTTTTTTCAAAATCCCTAATAGTTCTTATTGAAATTTAGACTATAAATGTGGACGCCCTGTAAACCAGTACAGTTGCAAAAACAGAATTATAAGCCTTATAAGTGCTAAATTCAAGTAGATATAAGACAAAAAATTAAATAAATTGAATCGGTTGAAAAATAAAAATTTTAGAAGGGTGGTCAATCCTTAAACGGAACACACTGTATACTAAAATACAAAAATTCATTATTTCTGTGTTAAGCCACGTACAGTCCGAACTTACAACGCTAGCCAACGGCACATATGAACTATGTTGGAACGCGTTGGCTTTGGTATGTACAGGGTGCTGCAATTTGGAGTGTTTTAACAAGAAAAACATATTTCCAGACCAGATAGAGGAAAATTGACTTAGGTGTCATGGGATGAATTTTCGAGAAACGTCGATTGCCAAAAACCGTATCACGATATCTTCAATGGTATCATCGATACAGGGCGATTTTCGATTTTCCCCTATTATGAAAAATAGCTATAAGTTTTTCATTTATCAATTTTTTTTATTTCTGTAAAAACATTATGGAGACACTTTTTTGAGCACAATCCAGTGGCGGACTCAATTTTTTTCTATATCGCTCCGATTTCGAGATATCGACCAAAGTCCGATATTTTCAAATGAAATACCCCATATATTAAAAGCTCATTGGATAGCTTTGTTTTTGCTGGTTTCAATGATATAAAGTTCGATAGGTTTATCTCTAACAGTTTTCGAGAAAAAAAATTATATCTGTTTTTGTCGTAAGGATCAATGTGTTAGAGAAGGATTTTATATGTGTAAGGAAAATGAGGAAGGTCTCTTTCTAACACATTGTTTCTTATGACAAAAACAGATATAATTTTTTTTCTCGAAAACTGTTAGAGATAAACCTATTGAACTTTATATCATTGAAATCAGCAAAAACAAAGCTATCCAATGATCTATTAATATATAGGGTATTTCATTTGAAAATATCGGACTTTGGTCGATATCTCGAAATCAAAGCGATATAGAAAAAAACTGAGTCCGCCACTGAATTGTGCTCAAAAAAGTGTCTCCATAATGTTTTTACAAAAATAAAAAAAATTGATAAATAAAAAACTTATAGCTATTTTTCATAATAGGGGAAAATCGAAAATCGCCCTGTATCAGTGGTAACATTGAGATATCGTGATACGGTTTTTGGCAATCGACGTTTCTCGAAAATTAATCCCATGACACCTAAGTTAATTTTCCTCTATCTGGTCTGGAAGTATGTTTTTCTTGTTAAAACACTCCAAATTGCAGCACCCTGTACAGCGGCCGCAAATCGAGACTCAAATCCTTTCCAATGCTTTCCAGATCCAACGCCAACGACAGCATATGTGCCGTTGGCGTTGGTCTATGTTGGAAATTCGGTCTGTACGCGGCTTTAGAATGACTACAATATGGTGCTGTACTGTAGAATCTTCTTATCTTATCAGCTTATTTGCATAGACTCAACAAAACAACAATAACTGGGGAAAAAAAACAAACCCAGCACACATACAAAAAAGGGTTTCTGCGTAGGTATTTTATGCACTGAAGGTTATTTAGCAATGATTTTAAATTATTTTTTCAGGTTACTCCCTCAATACACATTACTAGTATGAGGTTTCAGTCACAATAAAACAACGATCCCCTCCTGCATCTACTAATACAACTTTCACTGCTATAACCCAGTCAAAAACGCCCTTTTGTGGGAGCACTTACGCACACACTTTTAATCTCTGTATCTCCCTCTCTTCATAAAATCGCATGTCTGTGAAACCAAATTTCAGCAAGTTTCAGGAATTGGCAATACTGTCAAAAAAAACTCCAAAAAATCCTTATTCTTCCAGAATAAACCGCATCTCGTTTACTTTTCTCGTTTTCGAGATATTAAACCGCAAAATTTATCAGTCCATCCCTGTATAAAATTTTAGCTATGTAGCTATATTTTCGCTCTAACATGTATTGTATCTTTATATTGTGTTTACATTAAGATATCATTAAACCATCAACGAAAAATACTGAACTAAAAGAACCTACTCCAGACTTATCACGGAGAAACACAATTATTCCACCTCCAAGTCTTTTGGAAGTCGAACCAGATTTGCCTGAAGACAACGAAATGGATGATCAAGGTACTTAGGCCACTATAGTGTATTTTGTGAAAACTGTAAATTTTTCCATGATGTAGAATATTCAGAAGACGAGTATAGCGATGAAGATAGCCGAAACGAACACCGATCACCTAAAGAGGAATATCAAGATTTGAGAAGTACTTATGGTAGATCTTTGACTCCAGAAGGTGAATTGGATGTAGAAAACAAAGAATTCGAAGATATTTTTGATGAAGAAATAGAAGAAGAGGAGATTGAAGTAGAAGAAGAAATCGATGATGATGATGATTACGAGAAATTTGACGAAGATGACGACGAAGAATTGCTTAAACGACTTGAAGCAAAATATGGCAGATTAGGCAGGGGTAAATAATAGGGCTTGTTACTATTTAGGTTACAGTACAGACTCAATAATCCGAATTTGTTATGTGTAATCGATGTGATCACATCTAATTTGGATAAACATTTTAGATGTCAATGTGGGTGAAGAACCTGAATCAGAATCAGACAAGGAAGATTACGAACAATCGAATATCACTAATGAAGCTGATTTTGCAATTAAGGAAGATATAGATGCTGCACAAGAGCAGCTCCATAAGGTAAATCAATCGGTTAGGATTCAAATTGAAACTATTTGTGAATTTTTTAGGAAAAATAATTCAAAATGTATAATTAATTCCCTTTTTTCCCTTAAAAAATAGCCTTAGAGGCTATGCAGTATTCTTTCCTGTTTTGTTTGGAGTTAATGTGAAATTGGAGTGTTATTTTGAGTGCATTTAAAACTATTTTAGTACAATATTCAATGCGCCTTATTTATGTATTATGTAGTTAAGTTTTGTTTTACATCTTGATCAATTTTTATTATTACCCGCACCACTTTTAGTAAAATTGGATCAAAATGACCGGTTTTTGTGTAAAGATGTAATAATTTCGTATGTATTTGAATTTACTAACTATATTTTGTTTTAACCAGAGTGCCGCTTACGCTAACAAAATGTTTGAGGCGCTTCTTGAAAAAAATCCCCTTTCCCCTCGATTACTTTATGGAAGAGCCAAGGCGCTGGATATATTGGCCGAAGAAAAAAAGAGCAATGAGTTACTGAAACAATCCTTAAGTTTCTACGCACAGGCTTTAAGCGTACCTGATGTTCCTGATCAGTTGATTATCAAGATTGCTGAACGATACATTGACAGGGCTCGCTTTATTGGTAAGTACCCTATAAATTGAGTAATAATTTTTAAACCCTCCTATCTGTATATTATTTGCAATGATTGGCACTGGAAGCACAATAAAATAGAAAAACGTTTATTATAACTAAAATAAATTTTAATAGTGCATTTACATTAAACGTAGTTTTTTCATAGAAGACATCCGTACATTAATTTGAGATCAAATAAGGTACCTGTCCCAAATAAGGCCACGTTAAGAAGTTTTATTTTTTCCTAACGTTATCCACCAAATCCAACAAAAATCACGAGCTTATATGTGAAGTGTTTCGCTTCTATTACTTGAATATTAACACCAATTTATTTATTTTTTATATAAGTGGTGATTTTTGCGTAAAACAAAGACGCTTACCATTGGCCTTATTTGGATCACTATGCTTCTAATAAAGCCACCAACAAAAAATTTTTAAAATAAATACAATTATTTATAAATATATTATTATTTGAGAAATAGTTCACAAAGTAGAACTTATAAGTTTGCTGCATTCCTAAAAAAAACAATAATTCCAAGTCCTGGGATGGTGATCCAAATAGGTCTACATACAACTAGGACAAATAAACCGCAGCATCTGTTGCTTAGTTAGGCTCCAGGCATTTCAAAAAACATCACTCAGATAATAATATGACAATTTTTTTTGAAAAAACACTGTGATATGAGGCCAATTATTGAACATTTTTCGTATGATGGCCTTACTAGGAACATGTTAAATTGATAAAAAAAAGTCTATAACTAAAAATCTAGCAAAAATATTATTCATTATTCTGTACTTACTCTGTAACTTTCTCAATACATGAACACCTATATAAGCTAATTAAGTTCTAGCCGAAAAGTTATAACGTGACATATGAAATATGTGGTTGGCCATTTTTCGACATGACGTGTTCCTAGGAACCCTTGCAATAATAATATTGGGCACTGGCCTTATTAGGTACATGGCCTTATTTGGGTCAGATACCTTATATCAAAAAACTACACTTTGTCTCCAGATACCTATATAGAAAGGGCTAGCTTCGTAGAAAATATTGCTATTCGAATTATTCATAGTAATTAGTATTAGTACAATAAAGTTGTTCTTATAAAAGCCTCTCGCGGCAAAGTTTTGATTTTCTCCATTCTTTATGTTTTTTGGGGTGCTGCATCCGAATCTGAGGTTTGCTAACAAAATTTCGTGACGCAACATTGGAAAAAATATGAAAAAAGTGAAAAAAATTGTAGTTTTGGCAGTCTTTTGCGTATAACTCGAAAACTATCTATTTTTTGGAGAAAACACCTCTGTTGTTCAAAATGAAAGTAAATAAATAAAGAATATAATTTTTTTGTAGGACGAACCGTTTGGACTCATGCGCTAGTTGAAAATGGTCGTATTTTATTTGTCTCTCCAAAAATCCATCCTTTTCACTCGAAAACTTTAATTTAGTATTAAAAGCTCATTTGCGGTGATTTCCTCCTAGTTTTAAATTACTAAAAACGTTCAATTTAATTCATTTTTTCCGACCTTCTTAAAGAGGGTGTGACCCAAAAATGAAAGTTTTAGTGCAAAAAAAATCTAAGAATAAATATTTAAACCGCATCTTCCTACGATGATCCGTTTTCAAGTTAGGGCGGTTTAAAGTTACAACTAGGTGCTTTTGACGTCACACGGGTGATCAAACTGTACAATTGCCCAAAAATTCAAGACAAGAGACCAAGAGGTCCATTCGCCAATGATGTCGAAGCAGCAATGGAAGGTGTCTACAGTTATCTTGAGAATAGTGATGGAGAGTGCCACTTTTCGTTATAAGGGTTATTTGACCAAATCAAAGGAGATTATTGTCCTGACAAAAAAACAGTGAAAGCTCATCTACTGAAAAAATATGGAATCGATATACTAATCACCTTTTCCCCAAACCAGGCGCAGGTAGTATGTTTCAAAAACACAGGATATAAAATTTTGACTGATGCTAAGTACCAGCAGGCAATGAAAAACGAACAGGAGGAAAGACTCCGAATCGTTAGGGCAGCTGCTGCAATTATTGTTGAGGATATCCGGAGCCAGGGCTTGTTGGGAAAACCTTATAGTTTAGTTTAAATAATAATTATAAAATATAAGTTGATTTGACATCATTGTATTGGCAGTTGAAGGATGTGTGTTAAAAGTCAAAATATAAAATGAGTATGTCCACAGTATGTCATGCAGAAGGTTTTTTTAAGAGTTGTCGTTATAAAAGAAGTTCTTTGAAAATCCTGACCACTGCAGTTATTGAAATATAAAATAAAATAAAAGAATAATAAACAACAGGTCATGGGCCCTGGAAGCTTAAAAAAATAAAAACGAAACAGTGAGTGAAATGAGAAAATTATTATTTCCACAGTTGACCGAAAAGTATTAGTACATTTAATGAATTGTAAAACATCAGCTGAGATGTATACAAAGCTAAAAGAAATATTTGAGAAAGATACAGAAGGTCAGAAATGCCATTTATTGCAAGTGTTTTTTAGTTTTCAGTTCGAACGAGGCATTGATATTGCTACACATGTAAGTAAATTAGAAAACTTAGCCTACAGACTAAAAGCGTTGAATCAAGATGTAACTGAGGAAATGTTGATGTCAAAAATCTTAGGTACTCTACCAGAAAAATTCAGATACTTTAAAACAGCTTGGGAGTTAACTACCCAAAATGAAAAAAAAATTGACAACCTTGATTTCAAGACTTTTTGCTAAAGAAAATGCGAATAAAAACAACGAGAAAAAAAAATCAGTGGTTTTTCAGTGTTCAAATGCAGTAAAAAATTGTTATATTTGCAAAAAACCTGGACATTTTGCGCGTCATTGCAGAAATAAGAATAGAACGTGACAAAAACTGGAGAAATGAGAACCGGAGGGACAATCATCAGTCAAAACAAGAGGAAACAAGATGTTCAATATGCAAAAAGACAAACCACACTGAAATCAACTGTTTCTTTAGAAATAAAAACAGCAATGAAAATAAAAGGCGATTTCACCTCAGTTTGGTACCCCAGTTTGGTCTGTCAAACAGGTACCATTTTGGAGGTTTGGTAGCTTTCTGTTTCTTTTTCTCTCATGTCCAAATAAACATGTCAAAGTCAAAATGTACCAAACAAAGTCTGGGCGAAATCGCCTAAAAATCCTGATAAAAAAGTGTCATTTTTGACAGAAAATAAAAACTATAAGGAATATACAAATAGTAGAAATAATATGTTTGTAATAGATTCCGGAAGTATCTCGCATATGGTGAATGATCTTGAATTATTTGGCAATTTAATAGAAAAGCAGACTGATATATGTGTTGCTAAAAAAGATGCTCAGATTACAGCTGAAGGTTTTGGGAGAATTGAAGCAAAAAACTGCATATTAAATGAGGTTTTATATGTTCCAGAACTTAGCAAAAATTTGTTATCAGTACCTAAAAGTGCCATTACTAAAAATGATGGTCAAGTAATATTTGATGATGACAAAGTTTATGTAATAAAAAATGACAAAAAGGTTTTAGAAGGTAAAAAAAACGAAAAAGGACTATACACAACATATTTGGAAAAGAATGAGCAAACACTTGAAGAAAGTTATTTAAGTGAAACCAAAGAACAAAAAGTGATTAACTGGCATCGTAAGTTAGGCCACATTAACATAAAAAGCATACAAAAATTGATTGACAATGAAATGGTTACAGGAATGGATATAGATAAAAGGGACTGTGATTTATTTGAAATACCATGTGAAGTATGTTTAAAAGGAAAACAAACAAGATTTCCTTTCAATAATGAAAGAAAAAGAGCAGAAAGACCTTTAGAGCTCATACATACAGATTTATGTGGACCAATCGATCCACAAACATGGGACAATAAAAAGTATATGTCAACAATAATGGATGACTATACCCATTATGTGGTGATTTATTTCCTAGGATATAAAAGTGAAACAACAGAGCATGTGAAAGAATACATTGAACAAATGGAGAGAGAGAAAAATACAAAAGTGGCAAAAATAAGAAATGACAATGGCAAAGAATATGTAAATGAAGATCTACATAGATATTGTAAAGTGAAAGGAATAGTTATGGACTTGACAATACCATTTACACCCCAACTTAACGGAAAGGCTGAAAGACTCAATAGAACCCTAATAGAGAAAGTAAGATCTTTATTATTTGATTCAAACATGGACAAAATATTTTGGGGAGAGGCGGCCAGAGTTGCTGCTTATATACGAAATAGAAGTCCTACAGAATTCCTACAGCTAGATAAAACTCCTATTGAAATATGGACAGACCACAACCCGAATTTGAGAAGAATGCAAATTTTTGGAGTTGAAGCATACTCAAAAAATCTAGGATACCTAAAGAAACTAGATAGCCGATGTGAAAAATATTTATTTGTGGGTTATGCACCAACAGGATACCGTTTATGGGATGAAAAGAAAGAAAATCCTAATAAGAAGATTTGTCTTGTTTAAAAAACCGAAAAATTACAATAAAAACGTAAAAATTAACATTAGTAGATACAGATGAAGAAATAACAGTAAATCAAGAAAAAAATCAAAATATACCAGAAAATGAAGAAATAAGACAAGAAACAGATACTGAAATTCAGCATGAAAACCAAACAGAATATATATATGAAGAAAGTGATAAAGATTTAAACTTGGGACAAGGCCCGATAACGAGACAAGGAAGACATGTTAAAAAACCACAACACTTAGAAGATTACATTCTACTAACATACGAGGAAGCAATTGAAAGCGAAGAAAGGAATAATTGGAAACAAGCTATAGAAGATGAAAAAGACTCACTGAAAAGAAACGAAACTTGGGAATATATTGACAAAACAGACGCCAACGTCAAGAAAATACTATCAAATAAATGGGTTTTTAGAATAAAAGATAACGGGACATATAATGCAAGACTTGTAGTAAGAGGATGTCAACAACAAAAAAGACTTGATTACGAAGAGATATTTAGTCCTGTAATAAATATCAGTTCTCTA